ATGGCATTGTTGTTTGGTTTTGATATCAGGGAGATTACAGCCTTATCCAATGAGATTGAAATGTTTCTTCTGTTTTTTTGGAAGAGTTACTTTTTGGTTGCATAAGGTGTAAATTTATGTTGCTTATGTAAGATCTTTTTTTCTGCTTTACTGAATGTATACATACATAAATATGTAAATTTCAAGATTTATTTATTTACTTGAAAGGCAGATTTACAGAGAGAGAAGGACACACACACACACACACACACAGATATCTTATATCTGCTGGTTTACAATTGCCAATGCTTGGCCAGACTGAAGTCAGGAGCCAGCGGTTTCATCTGTCTCCCATGTGGATTCAGGGGTCCAAGTATTAGGACCATCCTCACCTCACTGCTTTCCCGGGAGCATTATCAGGGATCTGGATCAGAAGTGGAGCAGCTAAGAGTCTAATCATAGCCAATATGGGGTGCTGGCATTGCAGTGGCAGTTTAACCCACTATGCCACAATCCTGGACCCTGAATGTATATATTTATCACTGCAAATTTCCTTGGTAGTATTTATTTTATTGTATTTCATACATTGTTTTTTGCATGATGCATAAGCATGCGTTTTCCACTTACTATGAGATAATAATTGTAAGATTCAAGAACTAAGTAAGTATGAAAGAAGACACTCATATTAGCTAAACTTGAAAAAAAAAAACTTATTCTCTTGCCATTGGATCTTTCCAGTCGTTTTTATTCCTTCTAGTGATGTCAGCAATTTCACTAGCTTCCCAATATGAACCTGAATTAGGACATTTCTATTCTCTGAAACTCAGTATAACACTTAAACTCACTCAAGTCAAATATAAAATCCAAAAATTCCATGTCAGGAATAGGTAATTTTCAAGTTTCCAGACAGGAGCCGTAGAAAATCAGTGGAAAAGTAAATTTTTACTTCTGCAAACTGAGAAAACACAAGTCATTGGAAAGGAAAATCTAAGCCAAACAACAATGTAGAATGCCACCAAATGGTTCGAAACTTAAATATACATAACTGGTGTCAGAAATATTTTTTAAAGAAATTTTTTTTTACTTATTTAAAAAGGCATAGTTACAGAAAAGAGAGAGAGAGAGAGAGAGAGAGAGAGAGAGAGATGGAGAGTTCTTCCATCTTGTGGTTCTCTCTCCAAATGGCCACAATGGCTGGACTAGGTCGAATCCAGGAGCCAGGAACTTCCCATCTCCTACATGGCTGCAAGGGCCAATGCCTTAGACCATTTTCTGCTGCTTCCCCAGGCACACTAACAGGGAGCTGGATAGGAAGCGGAGCAACTAGGATTCCAACTGGCACCCATATGGATTCCAGTGTCTGAAGTGGAGGCTTAACCTGCTGTGCCTCAACACTCTTCCCAAGAAATGATGCCATCTTTAAAAACAAATATTAAAACAGAGTAAGGTGGAGAAAGCCACACTACATTGGAACTTCTCTACTTCTTGTGCAGGCAAAGTGTAAGAAATACTTCCCACTGAAACACACCCAATTTCCAATTCCATTCATTTTGCTGCCAATGGCAAGATTTAATTATTTTTTATGACTGAATAATATTCCATTGAGTTTATATGTCACATTTTTTCTCTCTATCCTTCTGAAAATGGATACCTTATTGATCCTATAACTTGGCTATTGTGACTAGCATTGCAGTAAACATAGCAGAACAGGTATATCTTTGGTCAGTAAACATGGCAGGAGAAGTACATCTTTGATATAATGATGTCCTGTTTTTGAATATACACACAACATTGGGAAAAGTGGATCATATGGCAGTTATAAGTACAGTTTCTTTTAATTTTTAAAGGATTTATTTATTTGAAAATCAGAATTACAAAGAGAGAAGGAGAGACAGAGAGAGAGAGAAATCTTTCATGCACTGGTTCACTTCACAAATGACTGCAGCAAAGCCAAGAGCCAGGAGTCAGGAGCTTCTTCCAGGCCTCCCAGGTGGGTGCAAGGTCCCAGGGACTTGAGCCATCTTCTTCTGTTTTCCCGGCACACCAATGGGAGCTGGATTGGAAGTGGAACAGCCAGGACTCAAACCAGTGCCCACATGGGATGCTGGCATTGCAGGTGAGGCTTAAGCTGCTACACCACAGCACCAGCCCCTCTCCAGTTTCTTCAGAAACCTCCATACTGTCTACTATGGTGTTTTCCCTTATAAGCCAGATATAGAATTACAAATACTGCTTGTTCTCCTTCCTATATAAGCCAAAAATTGATCTGCTTATAGAGTAGTAATTACAATAAGCTGTGGGGAATACAGAAAAATAAAGAAAACTTGGAAAAAATGGATTGAAGTTAAATGGAAGAAAAAAGTTCCTAGTGTTACACAGCTTAATGGACTGACTACAGCGCACAATAGCCTATATTTTGTGAGCAATAGAAGAAAGGAACACCAAGGCTCAAATATCAAATAAGGGGAAATGTTGTTTCCCTAGATTGTCCAATGCACATTGTATATATGCATTGAAATGTCATATTGTAGCCCCATAAATATTGCAATTATTGTTAATTTTAGAAGTTTACAAGCACTCAAACCAGTGGCAAGAAGCAGGCATTACGCTTGGACATCAATACCTTCAAAGAAATTTCACAAAGAGGAGAATATTTATTATACTAGCATTTTTTTAAAAAATTCTTTCCAAGCAATATTTAACTGAAGTGACAAATGATACCATGGTTGAGATAACAATAACCTATTATAACACACACTATCCCTGCAAAAACACAGTAGGAAATTCTATAGTTCAAAAATTGTTACTTTCTTTTTTTTTTTTTTTTTAAACTTTTATTTAATGAATATAAATTTCCAAAGTACAGCTTATGGATTACAATGGCTTGCCCCCCATAACGTCCCTCCCACCCGCAACCCTCCCCTTTCCCACTCCCTTTCCCCTTCCATTCACATCAAGATTCATTTTCGATTCTCTTTATATACAGAAGATCAGTTTAGCATACATTAAGTAAAGATTTCAACAGTTTGCTCCCACACAGAAACATAAAGTGAAAAATACTATTTGAGTACTAGTTATAGCATTAAATCTCAATGTACAGCCCACTAAGGACAAAGATCCTACATGAGGAGTAAGTACACAGTGACTCCTGTTGTTGACTTAACAAATTGACACTCTTGTTTATGGCATCAGTAATCACCCTAGGCTCTTGTCATGAGTTTCCAAGGCTATGGAAGCCCCCTGAGTTCACTGACTCTGATAATATTTAGACAAGGCCATGGTCAAAGTGGAAGTTCTCTCCTCCCTTCAGAGAAAGGTACCTCCTTCTTTGATGACCCGTTCTTTCCACTGGGATCTCACTCGTGGAGATCTTTCATTTTTTTTTTCCCCAGAGTGTCTTGGCTTTCCATGCCTGAAATACTCTCATGGGCTTTTCAGCTGGATCCGCATGCCTTAAGGGCTGATTCTGAGGCCAGAGTGCTGTTTAGGACATCTGCCATTCTATGGGTCTGCTGTGTATCTCACTTCCCATGTTGGATCATTCTCTCCCTTTTTGATTCTATCAGCTAGTATTTGCAGACACTATTCTTGTTTATGTGATCCCTTTGGTTCTTAGTCCTATCATTATGATCAATTGTGCACAGAAATTGATCACTGGGACTAGTGAGATGGCATTGGTACATGCCACCTTGATGGGATTGAATTGGAATCCCCTGGTATGTTTCTAACTCTGCCGTTTGAGGTAAGTCAGCTTGAGCATGTCCCGAATTGCACATCTCTTCTAATGAAGAACTGGATTAAGGATTCCTCTGGGTTGCCTTTAGAAATCTCTCTTTTTTTTAAATAATAGGTAAAATCCAACAATTTTATGTAGTACAAGCAAGTGGTATTTATCCCACGTAAGCAAGGCTGTCAGCATTTTAAAAAATCAATAAATTGGACATACTACACAAACTGCAAAAATGTTAAATGGTTACATCAACTTTTGTAAAAGATATTTGGCATAAAAAAACTGAGCAAACAAGAAACAGAAGAGAAATTCCTCATCTAGATAAAGAATATCTACCAAAACCAACTTTAATAGTGAAATTGGACAGTTTTCCCTTAAGTTGGGGAAAGGCGGAAGTGTCTTTTTCTCACCACTACTTTTCAATATTATGGTGGAATTACTAGACAGTGCAGTAACACAAAGAAAGGATACAAAATGCATACATATTGGGAAGGAAGACATAAAACTGCTAGCAAATGTCATTATTGCATGTATAGAAAATTCAAAAGTACATCATAAGTACCCCTGGAACAATGTTAGTGTAGCAAAGTGGCGAGGATCGCCAATCAGACTCACTGCTGACTTCTCATCAGAAACTCTACAAGCTAGAAGGGAATGGCGAGATATAGCCCAGGTACTAAGAGAGAAAAACTGCCAGCCCAGAATATTATATCCTGCAAAGCTATCATTTGTGAATGAAGGTGAAATAAAGACGTTTCATAACAAACAGAAATTGAAAGAATTTGTCGCCACTCGTCCAGCCCTGCAACAGATGCTTAAAGATGTGTTACACACAGAAACAAAGAAACACGGTCATCAGTATGAAAGAAGATAAAGGAAGGAAACCTCACAGCAAAAGATCACAGGGAATTCAAAGCATATATTAGAACTTATCTTTGGCAAATGGCAGGGCAAAGTTACCACTTTTCATTAGTCACATTGAACGTTAATGGCCTGAACTGTCCAGTTAAAAGACACCGATTGGGATTTGCTTTTTAACCTGATGCAATTTTAAATGATGCTTAATTTTGTTTTTAAATTTCAAATCCTAGCTCTTACCCATACATGGAACAACAATTAAATTGTAAATTGTTACTTTCTTAATGTCAAAAACCAAGGATTTCATCAGGCCCCTGAAGCAGAAATATTAAAAGAAGGTACAGTCTAAAAGGCAATTGTTCCCTTTAACAGAAATATTGAAAGAATCTAAAATTATAAACACTGAATATTAAATAAAAGAAAATAAAAACTGTTTGTATCTGATTGAATGAGTTTATTAGGAAAGCAGAAAATCTGTGCAAACAAAAGGCGGGGACTGTGACAGCATCATCTTGTTGAGAGACCATACAGAGTTCACAGGATAAAGTTCAAATTCTCTTAATTTGGGGGAGTTAAAGCCAGAAGTTTGTAGCATCACTTGCAGAGACCACTGGACACACAGGAAGGTCAAAACAGAAACTGGTGATGTGAGATAATCATCCTCTAAGTATGAGGCTTAGAATTCCTGGGGTTCAGAACTGTTGAATGTTGTTGAGGGTGAGAGTCTCCTTTGGTATCCTCAGTAGTAGTAGCCAAAGCCAGAGCCATAGCCAGATCCATAGCCATAGCCACAGCCACAGAGAGAGCGTGAACCATAGCCATAGCCACAGCCATAGCCACAGCCCAGTCTGCGGTAGCCACAGCCATAGTAGGAGCCAAGGCCACAGCCCAGGCCTCCATAGCCATAGCCCAGGCCTCCGTAGCCACAGCATCCATAGCCACGGCCACCATAGTAGTTTCCGTAGTAGCCACACATGGTGTTGGTTGTTGAGGTTGTCCTTGGGTGGAGAAGGAGGAGGAATGTAGGTGACTTGAGTCTGGAGAGTTCTCCCTGCAGAGGCCCTTTTTATATGATTTCAGTGTGGGTGTGACTACCAGAGGTGCTTCTTTCATTGGCTCATTTTATGAGTAATCTAGTTAATTTGTTGTTTCTCGAAGAGATCAAGCTTCTGAAGTTTTATGGAGGTTTACTTTGTTTGGTTGCTCAGTTTTGATTTTGCTTATCCAATCAATGGCTCTTTGAGAGGAGACAATCACAGTGGGAGAATCCTACCTCAAACTAGACTTTCACTTAATCATCCTAAATCATCTTTTCTGCTACAAAATAGTATTTTTCTTAGTCATAATCGTATTTTCTCTAAGCCCAAGGAGTTTTTTTTTAAACTCTTTGTAAGTGTAACTATACTTTTAACGCACAAGGATTTTTTTTCCCTATTGAAATAAATTCATTATTTTCTTGAAGTATTTTATTTCTTTTTCTTCCTTTGTACTTGACATGTAAACATCGTATGTATTTATGGAGTAATATATATATATATGTGAATATATATATATATATATAACTATAAATGCATTCATTGCTTAATGTCCAAATAAAGTTAAACATATCTACATCTAACATGGAAACGAAATGTATCTTTCATTCTCATAAAGTAGAATGTCTGAATTAATTAGATAATCAAGAGAAATATATCTGATTACTATGTATTCTATTTTACACGAAAATCTATTTTTCTCCATTTTCTGCCAAACCATTCAGGTAGTGATTAATTGAGTTTCTAATCTATTGTTTACATGGCCTTGCATTGTGACCTAGCAAACTGAGCTCTTTTGCATATCTATTGAATTCTTAGTTTCATAACTCATGTCAGTGTGATAACCCATCCTATTGGACAGCAAAGCTAGTGTAGTTTCATGTTATAATATAAAACTGTGCCTCTTTTTTATTTAAGAAAATGGATGTACGAAGGTTTCATTATTCACTCATCTCTATAGATTTCTGCAACTCCAGGGATATTTCTGATTTTTATGGGTATTTCTTAGTATATTATTATTTTAATATATTTCTTTAGGTAACTCAAGTGAACTTTGGAAAACTGATTGGTAACTGGTAAACGTTGTGTTGAAGGTTCAAGTTGTTAGACATAGTATTTATTTTTTAAAGATTTATTTATTTATTTGAAAGGTAGAGTTACAGAGAGGCAGATGCAGAGAGAGAGAAAGATATATTCCATCTGCTGGTTTACTCTCAAATAGCCACAAAGGCTGGAGCCGTAGATGTACCATATTTTTATCAGCTCTCCATGGGGAACCATTGGTATAAAGGGAATGGGGTTTGTAAAAGTACTGATTTCATTTTATCTGGTGCCTATCTCAAATATATAAAAACAAAATCTTAATGAAATAAAAATAATCTTTTCATACTGATATTCACAGTCACACATTCATCCTTCCATTTGCATGGTGTTCTACATATGCTTTCCACATGTGTTTCTTGGCAGGTGCACTTTTGTAAAATTGGTATATTACTGTGACACTTTATTCACTATTTGCAGGGTCCAGGAATGAGAAATAGGGGGCATTTTCAGTACATTATATTTAAATTGGATATATATAGAACATTTCATATTTATTGACAATGTAATCAATCAAAAGATAACACATTTTAGTAGAAGTGGTGTAAAAGCAAATATTATCATTATTTTATGCTGGTAAAATTTTTAGAGCATCACCTAAATTTGGCAAACCTAGATTATGTCAACTAAAAAAAATAAGTCCAATTAACCTGAACGGTTTATTTGATATTTTGTTGGAAGAGATATTGAATTCTTGGATTTTCTTGCTTAATGCAATGTTCCTAACAACTATTACTAGGTTTTTACTGTGTTAGAATTTACTTCCAGGAATTAACATAATTCTACAGTAAACTGGCTTGCTCTTTCTAATCATACCAGCAGGAGCTTTGAACCACTCAACTCCTCTTTAAAATAATTTTGATGTATTATTCTGAATATATTAAATACTAAAGCATATTCCAAAATCAAAACAAACAAGAAGAATCTTTTCTGTACCAAACTCTTCAAAGAAATCCCAATTCTCTATCGAATTGCATAGCAATACTTAGGCATAGCTTACAAAACTTGATGTAACTCATATTTTTTATCTCTGACCCATAAAACTCTACTGAAACTATTGTTTCAAAGGTCATCAAGCCCTATTCCTTGCCGCATATAGAGGTCAAATTGTTTTCATTATATTCAGTCTCTAAGCACCTTTAAGATTCACCAAAATCTTTTTTTAATTCCTGAAAGACTCCCCAACATTCATTTCATCCTGTCATAAAGAGTTGGTTTGATTCTATCCTTGACAGTTGCTCCTTAGCCTCATGAATTTTTCTTTCTGTTCAGTTTTTCCCCTTAAGCTGAGGGTTCCCAACTAGGTAGGACCCTTCAATATTCTCTAGTATTCTTGTCTTCATGTAATCTCCATTTATATGGTCACTTTGGTTACATTATTTTCCCCCAGCAATTTCAATTTATATGTCCTATCTCAAATACTCATAAAAGTGTTATATGTTTAGAAAATGGAAACATGACAAAAAATTAAGTATGTAATTTCTGTATCAACCAGTCATTTCCATTCTTTGTGTCTACATGTCAAATCATACATGAAACAAATCAGTTTACAACCCTCACTGATACTAACCCTTCAATACCTTCCCACACTGACTGCAGAAACACATTGCTGGGGTTACTTATCAGATATCTGCCAGAGTTCAGGGCTATACGTAAAATTATGGATATATTATATGTCAAGTATAAGCCAAAGTAAATGATATTACTTTATAAAAATGGTAAAAACTTTATTATTGACATAATACAAGTGTCCTGCCACCATGTCTTCTTTTGTTCCTACTCACTGAGATCTCCACTTACTATCCCAAGTTATGTAGATATGCAGATCATACGATCTCTTAGTAACTGGCACTGTAGCTGAGTTTTAGAATCTGGAATAAATAAGATAACAAAAAAGATTGGCTTGGCATTGTGGTACAGCAGATTAAGCCACCACCTACAATGCCAGCATCCCATATGAGCACCAGTTTGAGTCCAAGCTGGTCCATCTCCAATCCAGCTCTATGGTAATGCACTTGGGAAAGCAGGGCAAGATGGCCTGAGTGTTGGTTATTTGCCACCCACATGGAAGACCCAGATGGAGTTCCACGCTCTTGGCTTCAGCCTGGTCCACAGCTGTTGTGACCATCTGGGGGAGTGAACCAGAGGATAAAAGATACCTCTCTTTCTCTCTCTCTGCTTTTCAAATAAATACCCCAAATAGGAAAAGAATCCCTCATGAAAGGCCCATGATTTCATTACCAGCATCCTGGCACAACAGTGTTGTCTTGGGTTTATTAGTCGTGGGGAATTCTTGAACTGATTTTAAGGCTAATTAGTTTGGGACATGATGTCAACAGTGCCTGTGGTTTGCCTCACATACGATAGCACCTGACCGCTACATACTGCCCTGTGAAGATTACTAACTTGAAATTCTAAAATCTGTCCCTGCTGTAGAATGGAGCCTTCATTTTCTGATTAGTTTCTATTGCAAATACTATGGTGACTTAGGCTATAGTAGTAGAAGCCTTGTCTATGGCTACAGATGTGGTGACTAGAGACATGCTTGTTGGCACCCATAATTTTATGGAAGATCCAGGTGTGTCTGCTACTGAAGAATTCAAGCTCCCAGATTCTTTTAAGTTGTTTTCTTATGAAACACTACGTATTCTTCCTGTACTGTTTATAACAGCAATGTTATTGTATATTCAAACAATAACAGCCAAACTGTAACCTGCAATGACACCTCACAACTTCTATGACCAGTTATCTGAAGGTTTCCATAATTTAGAGAAAAAAAAAAGACAAACACCTTTGATATTGACTAACTAATATACCATTAAATTCAAATACCTGTTTTCTTGTGGGAAAGTGTCTAAACTAATTTTCCATGAAAAATATTCTTTTTTGCAACCCTGTAGTTATTATATATATATATATATATATATATACAGATTTTTGAGATTATTGGGATTGTATTTGTGTATGTACATTCACATGAGGTAACATGGGAATATATTGCTGGTCAATTATCTGGAGATTCCAACAATTTGGACTTAAGAAGAAAACAGAAATTCCTTTGATGTTGTGTTACTAGTACATGACTGAAAAAAAAACATTCTTAGCCAGAGACCAGCATTAATGTGCAGCAGGTTAAGCTGCTTGTGACACAAGCATTCTGGACATGATGGACAGATGACAGATAAAGATATATGGATGTACACATATATATGCTACCTAAATTATTTGTGTATGTGTAAGCACACAGATGAGGTTGTTGCATTTTGCCCATCTATAATTGTCGTATATGCCATAAGTGTGGTCTATACTTATTCAACCAGGACTTCTTGAGAACATGTTTCGAATTTTCTCCCAAAATTGACAGGTGTGAAAGGGAAAGGACAGAGACTGAAATAGACTTTTCTGAGTGTGGCTTTGGTTCTGCCATGAAAGACAAGAATCTTAAGAGACAGGTCAGAAAACTCTGTCAGCATGGTCAAAAATGCCAGAATAGGACAAAGGCAGAAACTGTAACTTTTAACTCAATTAACCACCACACCCACAGACATGGCCATCAGATATCAAACATTCAGCAAGCATATCCCATTGCTTGAAAATAATCAAAGATTTGGCAATTGTTTAAAAGACACGCTGAAAATGAGGAAATATTTATTCAAGAAAATCTATTAATCCTAGATATAGTAAGAGTCTTGATCCACTTAGCCACAGTCTGCTTCTTCCATTCTTACTCCTCCAGCTTAATGTGGCAAAAGCTCCACTATGGATAGAAGAGGCCAAGAAAACAGTGCTTCTTGTTTTCAAATCAAGGACTACAGCCCAGGCCACTGTGGTCATTTGGAGAGCGAACCAGCTCATGGAAG